AGTCTTTGTAAAATTGCAAATCATTTGAATTGCAGAAATAACTCAAATTTGCAATGTTTGAGACATTTTCTTTGAATTCAATGCAATAGTGAAGATTCTTAGACCATTATTGTACTTAATTTATAAGCTTATAAGATATTTCAAGCTGATTCATGCAGCATATTTTTTGGATAATAAACTAGCTTCTGCCATAAGTTTGGTTATACCTGAAAATCTGACATTAGATCTTACTTGATTGTTTGGAGAGGCAAGAAATATATTTGGAGGGGTAATGGTGTATGGTGTTTATTTGTAGTAATGGAATTGTGGTCATTTGTCAAAAGTATTTCAGGGTGGCAATCTATTTGTTTGGGGGAAGGGGGGATGCCCCCTGTAGCTCCAGGCATGTTAGATCTACGTGTATATAAGCTTATTTGATATATTAATCAGAAATTGAGGATTGAGGATTGAAGTACAGTCAGAATTACAACAATATTGAATTACCTCATACGTGACTCCATCAGCCCAAATATATTTTCCTTTTCCATTCATGAGACCTTCTGAAAACTGACCCTGATAAAATAAAAATAAAACAAAGATAGTAAAGGGTGTGATTTAAAATATTACCGGTAATGTATTAATTATAGCAGCAGTAAGAATTCATTTCACATCAGCAGGATTTTTCTTTACCATTCAATGTTCTAAAGACCCATCTATATTTTTTGCAAGTGTGTGTGTGTGGTTAAAATTTTGATATTCAAGCCCCATACAGTAGCCCAAGTCCCAAGCTTATGGCTAATAACCAGTGAGCTAAGAGAATTTGTATTCCTTTTTCATTTATTCTTGAATGTAAGAAATCAAAAGGTTACCTTGTACGAATGTCCTCCTTTATAAACCATAGAACATTCTCCATCATATTGTCCTTTTACTAATTCACCTTCAAAACTGAAAACAATAGATTGAGAATCATTACTAACTGCTGCAAAAGGTCAAAGTGTAAAGACACACGCTCAAGATCTGTTCTCAGAATGGATAGCGTTTACACTACAAATTTTATATGTTCACATCTGAGAACTGTTCCTGAACCACATTGCCTCAGAAGTCATGAATTGGAAGTATTCAGTTCACATGACTATAGCGTAGTCTAGTACAGTCAAATAACCTAATTTCGTGGAAACCTATTATTCGTGGATTTCCGGAAAGGATTAATAATTTACATGAGCGACCTTGCGTGACCTCCGCATTAGTTTGTTTTGATAAACATGGGTTTTCTCTACAATATCAGCTAGTAGAATGAATCCAGTAGTTTCAAGCAAGGTAAAATGTATTAATGTATACTTTGACAAATACAAAATGGCGGATTTAAGTTATTACCAAACGTCACCATTTTTTATCGGCCGTATTTCCTTATAATCCCAAGCGGTAATCGGAATTCCAAGTGTCGTCTGCTAGAATGTATTCCAACGAATGAAGTCACATGATCAACTAGCGGATTCTGTGTCAGCAGAAAATTTCTATGGAACACAAAGTGGGCCATATTCTTATGTTGTTTCAGTGACTTTTAGCAATAAATCACGCTACGTATCTTATTTTGTCCGTCACTATTTCTTTTTTAAGTCGTGGTTCTTTGAAGGAATTGTCACTAGTTATAATGAATTGATATTAAAGATAAATACTAAGAGAAGTTAATTATACCACCCGGTATCCATACAACTTG